AACCCAGACTCGTCCATCGGATTGCCAGACGGAGAAGCGTGATTGGTCACTCCAGAGAACACGTCTCCACTGCTCTAGAGTCCAGTGGCGGCGCTTTACACCACTGCATTCCACGCTTTGCATTGCGCTTGGTGATGTAAGGCTTGGATGCAGCTGCTCGGCCATGGAAACCCATTCCATGAAGCTCTCTACGCTGTTCTTGAGCTGATCTGAAGGCCACATGAAGTTTGGAGGTCTGTAGCGATTGACTCTGCAGAAAGTTGGCGACCTCTGCGCACTATGCGCCTCAGCATCTGCTGACCCCGCTCTGTCATTTTACGTGGCCGACCACTTCGTGGCTGAGTTGCTGTCGTTCCCAATCGCTTCCACTTTGTTATAATACCACTGACAGTTGACTGTGGAATATTTAGCAGTGAGGAAATTTCACGAGTGGACTTGTTGCACAGGTGGCATCCAATCACGGTACCACACTGGAATTCACTGAGCTCTAATGTCTGTAGAAGCAGTCTGCAGGCCTAGGTGCTCGGTTTTATACACCTATGGCCATGGAAGTGATTGGAACACCTGAATTCAATGATTTGGATGGGTGAGTGAACACTTTTGGCAATACAGTGTATATTTAGAGTCTATTTTTTTTTCTTTCTTATATATTTTTGTATTTTTAAGTTCTATAAGGGGGCCACGCACCTAAGATTTTCACTCACCTTCGCACCCGTGTAGATGTGATATGATTTGGTTGTATTGTGAATGTGTGCAGCTCTCAGTTATTTGGCCTGAACTCTACTACAGCTTCACCTTTGACCTCTGATTTGAAGTATAAAATTTGGCATATATGCAGCCGTCCTCATCTGTCAGCACTTTACTGCTGATTTTCGGTGAACTGTGCCAACGATTGCCGAGCTCGAAAGATGTCTCACACCACCCCCTGCCCCAGTTTAATCGCCATGGTGATGGTGTTGCCGCCTGGACTTCTTGGTAACCAAACATGATGTACATTCCCAGGCCCTGTCCATGGCACAGCTCCCAGGCTGAGGCACTCTCTCTCTCTCTCTCTCTCTCTCTCTCTCTCTCTCTCTCTCTTCTCTCTCTTTCTGTCTCTGTCTCTCTCTCTGTCTCTGTCTCTCTCTGTCTCTGTCTCTCTCTCTTTCTGTCTCTCTCTCTCTCTCTCTCTCTCTCTCTCTCTCTCTCTCTCTCTTCTCTCTCTCTCTCTCTCGCTCTCCCTCTCTCTCTCTGGGGATGTGCAGCGTGGGGAAAAAAATTAAGCGTAATCACCACCACGTCAGCGCCAGAGCCCTAAACAGCCTTGAATGTGAGGGCAAACCAGGCCATTCCAGTTTAGCCTAACCTCCCTCTCTCACTCTCTGTCTCTCTGTCTCTCACTCTCTTTGCGTGTGTCTCTTTCTCTCTCTGTTTGTGTATCTCTCTTTCTCTTTCCACCTCCTTCTGTCTGTCTGTCTCTCTCTCTCTCTCTCTCTCTCTCTGTCTAACTGTATTTGTCTTTTTCTGTCTGTCTGTCTCCCTCTCTCTATTTGTCTTTCCTTTTCCCTTTCTGTGCGAGGTGGTCTGTCTCCCTCTCTGTCTCTCATGAGGTCTCTGTGTCCGCCTCTCTCTAACTGTCAGTCTCTCTCTCTCTCTAACTGCCTCTCTCTCTCTCTCTCTCTCTCTCTCTCTTGCTGTTGTCTCTCTCTCTTTCTCTTTGTGTCGCTGTCTCTCTCTCTTGCTCTCTCTGCCTCTGTCTTTCTTCTCCCTCTCTGTCTGTCTTTGTTATCGTAGTCTCTCTCTCTCTCTCCCTCACTCTGTTCATCTCTCTTTCTGTCTGTCTGCTCCTTCACTGCTCTCACTAGCTCTGTCACGGCTGGGCGGTGCAGCCATTGTGTTCAGGCCCTGTTTGCATAAGCTCAGTTTAACCCCCCAAAGACGTTCTCATCTGATGAGCTAACATGCCTGTGCTGTCCTGCTGGATTGCGCGTCACTGCGCTCGTTCAAAAGCAGTGAAAATTGAATGTTGTATAAACCTTTGGTGCGAGTCGAGACCGAGTGGATGAGTGGGGTTTTAGCCCCTGAGCTGAGTGTGTGTTATTGTATGGAGAGCAGAAATGCAGTGTGTCCTTGTTCCTCTCCACTGAGCTGGACCTTTCCTGCCCTGTTTGTCCAAAGGGCCCCGGTGGCTAGAACTTTTTGACGGATGCTCAGACTGTTTGTGTACACACGGCTCTTATGGGGCCCATTAGAGCCCCTCCAGGGGGGACGCTTAAAAAGGGCGCACACTTTGGATGTCAGCTCATTGTTGGGTTCTGTAATGAGCTGGAAGCCCACAAACAGTCCACGTTCTCATGGCCTTGAATGGGAAGTAGGGCACTCTCTCTTGTTTCTCTCCATCAGTGTCTGGTAGTTTTCCTCACACGTCACCGTTAAGTACATTCATTCCTCGGTGTTTGGTGTTGTGCTTGTGTCTGCTCTGCTGCTGAGAGTCAAAGGTGGCTTGCATAATCAAGCAGGTTTAATTACAGTTAACTGACTGATTACATAAGAACAGATTGCTGGTGATCTGACAGCCGTGTAGCTGCAATCTACACTGCCTATCAAAAGTTTGGGGACACCCAGCTTTTTAATGTCGTTTTAATTGATGAGCATGTTGTCTTTGTTATTTTGCTATAAGGTAAAGGAGATATGATAGACATAACTGCATTTTCCAAATGCCATCAACTGGAAGGTTGTGGGTTCAAATCCCACAACTGATTAGGTATACCTGGTTGTGCCCTTGGGCAAGGCACCTAACCCCCCACTGCCACAGGCGGCGCTGCTCTGCTGGCGACACTGTGCTGCTCCCAGATTGGGCATAGTTAGGCCGCAAAATGACAGATTTCCCTCGTAGGACCAATAAAGTACATAACCTAACATACCGTCGAGAAAATGTGAAACGTGAACGTAGTGAATTTCCTTTTACAAGAAGCATGTTTGTATCTGCAGGGCGTTAGAATTCACTGCTTGATGGTCCGTCACATCAAGCCAGCGTCCCACTCCATTTGAATAACCACGCCCCCTCACCCAGCCTTTGTACTTCTACCGCCAAGGGTGCAGTTTTACCTACAGGAGAGGACAGCACTTAATTTCTGTGTTGTAGCTGATTCAACGGACCCTTGCTTTATGTTAACAGGCTTTCCGTGAGCTAACTGGACCATGTTCTGTCCTCACTCAAGTGAATTTGGAATATTCCCAAGTTAAAGGGGATCTCCACCAATTTTACAAAATTACTTAATCATTCAATGGTTTAAATGTGGACAAAATCATTCAGAGTGGTTCGGTGTGAAATGCGCCTTTCTAGAGAAATTTACAGAGTCAGAATTGTTCATCATTACAGTAGTAATGGTGCTTGTATAGCTGAAATGACAATAAAGCCTGACTTGACTCGACTTGAATAGGAATCAGACATTTAATTAGGCATTTACTGGCTTTAAAAGCTACATCCTATTAGGTTATTACAGAAACGGTTATAGATGCAATGCTTGATACCTGAGACATTGTAAAAAAATTTATATTTTTAGTTCACATATGAATATATATATATAAAAATATAGCTCTTGTCGGAAGAAAACCCCATATCTCCAAAATGATAACTTTACAGGAGAAGGAAAAAACATACTTTGCTTTTAATGTAAGTCAATGGAACCAGAGTTTTTACCAATTAATTCTGACCTGTTTCTTTTGGTCCATTCATTATGAAATTTACACACAATATAAAGAGCAAAATGTATTTTCAAAGTATGTCAAAAACTGATATATTACTCCAGGATTACTTTCGTGTTTCCTCTCAAAACTGCATTCTCAACTGAGAACAATGCGCACAAGTTAAGATGCTTTTGTAGTTACTAGCTTGTAGCTACAGCCATTCAACATGGCTAAAGCCGGTGTTATATCCGATTCAGTTCCCTCTCAAATTCACGTTCCCTTTGACAAATCAGGTCCTCGCGTGCCGCATTCACTGATCAGATAACAACGCCAAGCAACACTGAACCACGGAACTCACAGTTTGAGTTTAAAACTTTACTGAAGGAGTGTAGAATTCAATCTGTACCGTCCAAAGTGTCGAACATATTAACTTGAATTGTCTTGTCTTTTACAAGCTTAAAATGACTGTGTTCAATCTAGAGAGCTGCTTTAAAATGGAAATATATGTCGTGTTCACTTGATGCTAAAATAAGATTCAAATTCACACTAAGATGAGAACAGGATTGTCTCAGTGCTAACAAACACAAATGAGTACAAACTAGTTGAATTAAAAGGCTTCTCTATTTGACAGCCAGTGGAGGAGGAGTAAATGACTGGGTACAAAGACTAAATTAAAGTGTTTTGTACTCTTCACAGTCGTCTAGGCAACAGTGAACTATAATAAAATGATTTTTTTTTTTCTCTTAAAAAGCTAAACTGAAGGAATAAATGACAAAAGTGCTACCTTGGGGAATAATGCATGCCCCAGGCCTTTTATCCCCTTGTTTTGATATCAGCACTCAAACCTTTCAGCTCTGAAGCCACCGTTGTGGCAATTTTCAGTATGTAATTTGAACAGTAGTTAAAATCATTATTCTCAATCATTATTTAGGCAAAACCTGCTCTTTATATCAAAGGAGACACTTTGATGACCATGCAGCAGTGTTGGAAAATATACCCGAAGTATTAGGACAGTTTTATGTTAACAAAACCAAGTATTTTTTCCTTTATTTATTGAAGAGTAACAGTCAGAATCAAACATTACTCAAAAAAATTAAATAAAAGACATTGTGTCCCACAACTTTTGATGGGCAGCGTAAAAAGGAGCAAGTTACACGTTTATGTCCGTCTTGCCGTAACGCTGGAACAACCTGAGACGAGGTGCCAAATAGGACAAATAAAATTCCATGATTACAGGATTTAACCATGATTACTGTTTTAGGTGCCACAAATCGCAGACTGTTATAATCATCCAAATAACCTTCTTTTTATTTTCCCTTTTTTCTATCCAGTCCAGCTTTTCGCGGCGGCAGCAGCGGATGATTAAGAACAGAGAGTCTGCATCTCTTTCGCGGAAGAAGAAGAAAGAGTACCTGCTGACGCTGGAGGCCCGTCTGAAGGTGGCGCTGTCTGAGAATGAGAAGCTGAAAAGCGAGAATGGAGTGCTGAAGAGGCAGCTCAACGGCTTGATGAGTGAGGTAGGCGCTGCACTGTTACATTTACGGCTGCAAACGGCTGTTTTGATAACCGATTAGTTGGTCCATCGTTACTTAGATTAGTTAAATCTGCTGATATTAATCTGCCAATTATGTGTAATCTAACAAATTAAAAACACAAGGATTGTTCTTCCTTTATAAAACATAAACACTGTATCTTCATCACATCATATCTTCTTATTTATGTTTTCTAAAAAGGGCTTTTATCAAAGGTACAGCAACAGATTTCTTACTCCTAGAAACAGGTTCTAGATCAGCACTCCTACTTCCAAAGTGGTTTGTGTACAGACCCTGTTATCTAAAGCAGCTGCCTGCAGTTCTATTCAGTTTTACAATTCACAGTAAGTTAAAAGAGGTTTTGGGGATGTATTTCTACAGAAACCATTTGGCCTTTTTGGGTGATTATTGAGTTTTAGTGTTTGTTAACGATGTTGGCCTTGTCACTTGTCGACTATGTCTCAGCTAAGTTAATAGGTAGTGCACTCCTGACACATCAGGTGGACGATGCACAGCATCCAACAACAAAGCGGAACTCAGCATCTTACTGCTATTATACTATATTAAACCCAGATCCACAGCTGTCTATAATAAGCGACCTGTGGCTTGAACTTTACGCTGAGAGGGCAGCCAGCCTGAAGACTTTCAGATAAACAAGCAAACCTTGGCAAGAGTCTTGAGAGTCTTGGCAAACATTGAGTGCGTTAACATGCAGTTAATAATCTGATAACTGTAGAAAATCTGATTTTTTCAGTAATTCGATCAACGCGCTTATATGCACTTGAGTAATCAGATAATGGGGGAACTCTGGGTCTACATGAGTCAGACAGTAATCAGATTTCTGCTTTACAACCAGCCAGTAAGCTCACAGAAGAAGACGTGACGTAAACATAATGTAAAACATCAACTCGTCTTCTGGCAACGCTGCTCGCTTATTTTCCGGTACCGCTGTCTGTTTTCACACATGCGCATACTGAGAGATCCGAAAGAAATCAGAGTAAGAGTTTACATGCACCGAGAAATCCGATTACTCAGCTGAAATCCAGCTTTTATCTGATTTTTTTCTGATGTCTTTATCTGATTTTTTAAGATCGGATTTCTAGATCGGAGAAGATATTTACATGACCATTTGAATCCATGACAGCGTAGCATAGTAATGAAAATATCTGGTTTTATACAGGACTGTTGACAGTAGCCACGTTTACATGCAGCCTAATAATCCATTAATAATCCAACTAATAGCTCAATAGGTATAGAATACGTCCAGGTAAACACCTCATTCAGAATAGTCTAGTCCGATTGAGGCCATCCGGAATACAATTTCTATCCAGTTGAACGAGGAGGGTAATCCTGTAAATAATCTGTGGAATAGAAGAATAATATCCGTGTAAACGCCTGTATCTGATTACATTCCCAGTTGGAAAGTTTAAGTCCGTTCTGATCATGTTCGTCACGTCATTGTGAAAGTTTATACCGTTCAACATGGCGGAGCAGAAACTGGTCTGCAGAGGAGACGAAGTTTCTGCTCTGATCTTTAAAAGACGGCGGTGGGACAGACGTCCAGCTTATGTGTCTCAGAACGTAATAAAAAATAAACAAAAAAATTACCCAGTTTGATACGGTTCCTTCATTTCCAAAACAAAAACCGACGTAGAAACACCCCCCGTCGGTAAGCAGAGGGATCTAGTGCGGCAGCAATGCAACAAGAAATAAGACAAGCGGACGCCTTTAGTGAGAAACTGCTTATCGAAAATTCCAGTGTAGAATTTGATTTTTAAAAAAACCTTAATGACTATTTATATAAACTGCTGAATGTCCCTAATGAGGTTCCATGTGTCTCCCCCAATGTGTAGAACACTGTATTAAAGGCTACTGCTCCAAAGAGGCGGGCGGTGTGTCTCATGGTGGTCCTGGTTTTCCTGTTCATCAACATCGGTCCAATGAGGTAAGCCGAACCTTCACGCAGATACCTGAGCCTTCAGTTGAGAAACTGCTATTTTACTGAGCTTGTTGGTGACTGAGTTGGTTCCCAACTTCCCAGCTGATACTAGAGGACGTGTATATTTCAGTGATTGCTCTGACTCACCTGCTCCAGCTCAGGAAGAGCCTGTTAATTATATGATTAGTCTGATCAGGTGTGTTTATGCAGAAAAACTCACCAGGACAGTGGTGGGAATCACGGTTTGTAATGTTGTGAAGCCTCTGGAGGAGCCGAGGCTACGTGCACACAGCAGGTAAAAGTGGCCCAAATCTGATTTTCTCACCAAATCCGATTTTTTTGTTCAGCTGTTATACAATATTTTTTAAATGTGATCTGTATGGGTCATCAGTCTGAACAGATCAGCTCCTAAACTGACCCACATGAGCAAAAGAACAGAGCGTCACGCTGCTTCACGGCTCATCCAGAGGTAAACAATCATGACTGCCAACGAATGCCAGTCGCTCCCGGAGGATCAGCTTCATCTTCACCAGCATCACAGGAGCCATCATGAAGCTTCACTGACTGACAGCTGGGCTCATCACCCAGAATGTGTTCAAGCTCACTGTAAAAAGGGCGCGGTCACTTCTTTGGTTCGTGTCGTCGGATTCTTTAAACTTTGCTTTCAGACTTTTAACTGTTCTTTGACGCTGCAGCCTCGTTCTCCTGCGGCCGCGTTCGGACATTTCTTTCGAAATCTCTTCAAACACTGAGGTGTTGCGATAAGTCTGTTCTAATTTTTTGGTACAGAAACATCAGCCTAAATGTTTGAGTCTCAGCTGCGTGAAATTATGACGAATGTCGAGTTGGATTGACGTAAAAGTCGCATGAATTCCGATCTGGCTGTTCAGATTGAGTCGCATTGCCACAGATCAGATACATATCAGATATCAGCTCCACACATGAAAGCGTCTCAAACCGAAATTGAAGATGTCAGATCCAGTGTGTTTATCTGTTCACACAGACACACATCTGTGTCACATATGAAGAAAAACATCAGATTTGAGCCACTTTTACCTGCTGTGTGAACAAAGCCTAATAGAGGAAAGACTGGTGCTTTATTTAAGCAAGTCAAGGAAGCCTCATCTTAGGATGAGCTGTGATTCAGTGCAGTGATCATGTGCATTTGAACGTTCCTAAAGGCTTTGAACGTTTTCACTTCAATAGCCTGCTGAATTATGGGCACCACATTTTATAACGGTTGAAGGAATTGAACTTAATTCAAACTATTTGTTGACTAAATGTGGGGAAATACCAGAAATAACACCGACTCCTTCAGGTTAACTTCTCAGCCATAATTCCAGTAGAAACCGTTTTCAGATTTATATCACATTTAGATTTAAATGGCTTTGTTGGCTCGTAATGTAATTCATAACAGTTGTTAAAACAATGAAAGGAATGCTTAACATTTATATTATTAATATAATATTCCATCTACACCCCCCCTTCTCTTCTCTTCTGTTCTCTTCTCTTCTCTTCTCTTCTCTTCTCTTCTGTTCTCTGCTCTTCTCTTCTGTTCTCTTCTCTTCTCTTCTCTGCTCTTCTCTTCTCTGCTCTTCTCTTCTGTTCTCTTCTCTTCTCTGCTCTTCTCCTCTTCTGTTCTGTTCTCTGCTCTGCTCTGCTCTTCTCTTCTCTTCTCGTCTCTGCTCTTCTCTTCTGTTCTCTTCTCTTCTCTTCTCTTCTCTGCTCTTCTCTTCTGTTCTCTTCTGTTCTCTTCTCTTCTCTGCTCTTCTCCCCTGTTCTCTGCTTTTCTCTGCTCTGCTCTTCTCTTTTTCCCTGTTCTCTGCTCATCTCCTCTTCTCTTCTCTTCTGTTCTGTTCTCTGCTCTGCTCTTCTCTTCTCTTCTCTTCTCAACACCCTCTCTTCACCCCATTCTTCTCTTTTCTTCCTTGCTTCTCTTCACATTCTCATTTTCTCTTCTTCATTTTCCGCACCTTTCTTCGCCTTCCCTTCACCGTCTCTTCTTCTTCATTGCTTCTCTCATCTCATCTTCACCTCTGTTCTTCTCTCTTCTCTTCACCCTCTCTCTTCTTTTTGTTCTTCTCTTCAACCTGTTTTCTCTTCCTTTTCTCTCACCTTCTTTTCATCCTGTCTCTCTTTCTCTTTTTCTTTCTCCCTTCTCTTCCTCTCTCAGTCTGTTTGATGGAGGTACAGGTTCCAGATTTGAAACAGGCCCCAGTCCAAATAACAGACGTCTGCTGGGCTTCTCGTCAGAGAGAGACAGTGATGCGGGGGGCAGCATGCCTGACTCTGAGCCCCCTCATACTACAAACAGGTAACACTGTTCTTCAGCACTGTGTGGGGTCCAAAAACACCTGAGCCTCATACCTGACGCGAGCCAGACAGGTCATTATGTATAAAAACATACCAGCACAGGTGCAGAGTGACTGTGTCCAAACCGCTGTGGAAGAGAACAAGGCTCTGTTCTTCTCATGCTCTGTCCATGCCTTTACCACCCCCCCCCAACACACACACACATACGGAGACATACACAACCAGTCAAAAGTTTGGAATCAGTTTTCATTACTATAAAAGCAGTTTGTTGAAGATGGACACGTTTAATTGTTGAGTCTACACTGTATGTATTACTAATGAATACTAGTGAGTAATGTATTACTCACTATGACCGATAATTCCAGTCTATTGAATGATAAGTAACAAACACTCATTTACCAATTTAATAAACTGCAATCCTTTAAGGTGTTTTCCCCCAGAAAAAAAGGCAAATGTCTTCCACAAGGGATAAAGATTTCCTTTACTCCTCAAAAAGAAGTGCAACTGCAGAAATTGGGTTACATATTATTCTGAGTGAAATGAGTTTCACCACCTCATTCAGGAGGCGCAGACTTTCATGTGTCCATAACCTAGTTTTGAGGATGGGATGCTAGTCCCAGATCTGCTGCGGTCCTTTCAGCATCTGTTTAAAAGCCCTGGATGCTGGGATGCAACTGATCAGTAATCTTGACCGTCGGTATGCCAGAGAAAACAGTGATTGGTCGAGTGAGTGAGTTCATATCGCCTGCGAATGTAGGTAAAAAAGAACAGAGTAGTAGAATAAAATAGTCTGATTTTTGCCGTTTGAAAAATCCACTGTGTTAGACGTGCAAATTATGTTAGAATAATTTTATTCATCTCTGAATACATTTTGTGTAGTTGGGGCAAAGCCTTTAGATGCAGTGCTCTGTTTTTCAGCAGTGTCTAATACTGTTTCCCACCACATAAAGGCAATTTAACTTGATTTCATGCATGTTTATGTTTGCTTCTGTTTTTTGTCAGAAAGTTAAAACTGGGCATGATTTAATTTCAGCTGTTTTAACTATAGTGTGTCCTTTCAAAGGATTTACCCAATTCAGGAAGAACAGGATTAGTAGTAGATGTGTGAGGTTACCCAAGGCTCAAGTTTAGGTCCGCTTTCTTTTTCCTTCCGTCTGCGTTACACGTAAACCTCCTGACTCCTGTCGCATTCTGTCACATGGAACTGTTTCCAGGCTGGCTCGAAACCTAATCTTTTGTCCCCAGCCCCCTCTTTCCAACTCAAATAGGGTAATTAGATGTCTGGAAGCGGTCACGGTGGTGCTGGAAGCCAAACGTGTCCTGGGAGCAAATGGAATTATGTAATTCAGCTCTGGAAAATAGCGTTCAAGAGGAACCTGAGAGCGCCTTCGGAGATGGAGACCAGTGGAGAGGGTTTTAGATCAGGACCCCAGATGGTCTGTGTTTTCTTTGTTACTTGCACCTGAAGTGTGCAAGAATTTCCCATTTATTTTCCAATTTGTTTGATGCAGGGCCGTGCTGTTTGAATAGTGCCAAGCACTTTTTAACTGTACTCGGTTTCAAAGCCCTCGTTCCTGACTTCAATTAATAGTCTTTCCCCAATTCTGAGATGATATGATATCCAGAGCATCTGTTTCTAATGCCGCAAGGCTGGAGTCTTGGAGAGCTTTTTTCATTCTTGGTTTTAGAATTTAGATAGCAGTTTAGCCTACTGTCTAAATTTATTTCCCCCAACTGTTTTATTGCTTGCCCTGTTGTTTTATGGCATTTAGTACTGCTTCGTGTTTGCAGATCCATCAGTGTCCCACTTTTGTCCTTTTTCTCTTTTTGTCACAGAGTTACAGAAGCCAGACATTTCCCTCTGAACCCTGAACGTGGTACAGATTTTAGAGGCCTTTAAATCATGCAGTGAAAAGCTGAATCAGCTGGTGTTTCATCTGCACACAAAGCGTATCCGCAAAGTATTGACTGTGCCTAGAAGTGCTTATGTGGCACACAATGAACGGAAGCAAATAAAACGTTGAGTGTGCAGAAGTTATAGCACGTTTTATATTCTATTTTTTTGCCAATATTGAATGTAGTAACTAAATATAATTTGTCTTTTTTTCTGTTTTTTTGCATGTAAAAGTAATAGGTACAGTCAATGGTTCCAACTCCTCCATTATTGTAGCTTTCTTGCTCTCGTTCATACAGCTCCTGTATTCTTGTATAGAGTAAACTATGCAGTCCTGTGTTGTTATATATTCTCCTATATGCAGCAGAGGCTCTCGAGGGCAAGTGTAGCTTTAACTTTGCTTTTGTTAGTTTGCTGCTCGTTAGTTTATCCGCTGGTCTTTTGCGAGTGCTGTCCAGTGTAGTCTATCCACTGCCTCCACTGGTGCTAATATTATTAATATCTTGGGTGTTGCTGACATCAGCGCTGTGTTTTGAAGATACTTCAGACTTATTGCATTTTAATTTTGTGTGGTGTTGATGTGTTTGTTACTCAGTGGTCTGGTGGACCCACCACAGCATTGTTTTTAAATCAATACAGCCATAACAATTTATGTAAAAATACCAGATGTTTAAAATATCACAAGTGTCCAGCGTAGGGTTCTCCTTTAGCAGCTGTAGCCAGTCAGCAGCCTGTCCATGTTGTCCACACACACACACACACACACACACACACTAACAGCAGGCCATGTAGGAGGAGAACAGAGTGAAGGACACAGCACCTCCACACTTTTACTCCCCGCAGGTTCACCCAACACCACATGTGTAATATAAATGTGTGGGGGGTGAACAGAGTGAAGACACTGAAAATGGGTTATTTTATATGTTCTTCACAGAAAATGAGCAAAGACCAAGAAATCTGGTGTTGAAATAAGAATAGATTGCGTCATTTTTTATTTTAGTAAACATTGAAAACGGGTCCCACAGACCTGAACACCACACAAGGGTTAAACAAATGAACATGATAGTAACTGAAAGTAATTTGACAGTCCTAATCGCTACTGATGTAGATGATTCTGAATGAAGTTTACCTCCATTTTTTGAGCCACTAGCTTCTGCAGTCCATGGTGTGATGGCATAAGCAGATGTCACTCCTTAAAATAAACATGCCAAGTGGGTTCTTTAGAGTGCTGCTGTAGAAGAACCACCTCTGGTTTCCTAAAGGACTTTTCTTTAAAGGCATCATTTCACAGACCGGAGGTGTTTTTTTCTGTGGCATCACTCCGACGAGGCCTTTTGACTCTTTTATTTTTGAGAGTATCTTCCCGGGCTCTCAGACTCTCCTGATTTTTTGTTACGTTGATTAAAGCCAGAAGCGTATAAACTTGCCGTCATCGTTTCAGAGGTTTAACATCCTCGTAAATAGTCTTCCTTATTCATATCGGTTCTCTTTCCATCTTTCACTTCACTACATCTGCATCCCTGCCTCTTTTTCCATTGGCCCACTTCTCTGTTGCATTCTCCTTCTTTTTTGTTTCATATTTTCTCTCTCTCTCTTTGTCTCAGGCTGGAGGACTTTGAGTCAGTATCAGAGGAGAAAGCTCTGATGGTGGTCAAAAGGGATCCTCTCTTCTTCAGACCTCCACCCCCCTGCCAGCCGACAGTCAACAGGACCAAGTGCATGAAGTTAGTAAAGTAACAGTATTTATTATTTGTGAGCTGGTTTGAAGAAGTTGGGTTCCATGTTTCTCTGGCCATCACATGTATTTGTTTAATTGCATCACCAGCACAGGATGGGAGTTAATGGAACAAGATATTTCCCCAGTATTTTTGACCATTTCTATCGGTCCAGTCATCATGAAATTTTAACACATGGAGCGTTTGATTGTCAAAAAATGAAAAACAATAAAAATTGAGATATAAAGTTTTGTCTCAAGAGCGACGGTTTGCAGTTATTGTAATCAGCAGTCTTGAGGAAGCTATTCCAAAAAAACATTCACCCTTACACCTTGCCTTTACACTGGCTGCTGAACCAGAACCATTTACTCACCTTAATCACAGCAATACAGGCTGAACTGGTTAACTTGAATGCAAAACGCCGTCAAGGTTAGAATAAAAAACGATAAAATGCACCCAAATCTGTTGTTCAGCATAAAGAGAAACAAAAATTCAATGTAACACAAGGAAGATTTGACATTTCACATATATATACACCGATCAGGCATAACATTATGACCACCTCCTTGTTTCTACGCTCATTGTCCATTTTATCAGCTCCACTTACTATATAGGTGCACTTTGTAGTTCTACAGTTACAGACTGTAGTCCATCTGTTTCTCTGATACTTTGTTAGCCCCCTTTTACCCTGTTCTTCAGTGGACTATTCTCAGTCCAGCAGTGACACTGAGGTGTTTAAAAACTCCAGCAGCACTGCTGTGTCTGATCCACTCAGTCCAGTGCAACACACACTAACATACCACCACCACGTCAGTGTTACTGCAGTGCTGAGAATGATCCACCACCCAAATAGTACCTGCTCTGTGAGGGTCCATGGGGGTCCTGACCACTGAAGAACAGGGTAAAAGGGGGCTAACAAAGTATGCAGAGAAACAGATGGACTACAGTCTGTAACTGTAGAACTACAAAGTGCACCTATATAGTAAGTGGAGCTGATAAAATGGACAATGCGTGTAGAAACAAGGAGGTGGTCATAATGTTATGCCTGATCGGTGTAAAACTGACTAAAGTTTAACAAAAACTAAAACCAATTAAAATTGTCTCTAACACTATTGAAGTTATTTGTTTGTTTGTTTGTTTTTTTACTCCATTATCATCAACGTTGGTATCAGTGGCATTTAAACCATAAAAGCAGGGAGCTGGTTCGAAGCAGCTTCATGACTATTTCATACTTAATGTTTATCTATAGCTAACAGGACACCAACCTGACAAAGACACAGAGTTCACTCACTACAGTGGACGATTGGTAGAGGCTTGCAGACTTCTTGGTGGTGCAAGCCTGTAAAATGCTCAGGGCTCCTGGTTAATATAATGAATTATATTGTGTCATTGCTATAATATGACATAAAATATGTATAAAACAGCTGAAATATATCCATGTACTATCAGTGTAAGATCATACATGGATGCTCAAAGTTCTGCCCATATGGTCTCCAGTTCTTCTGCCTGAACTTCCTCCATGTCTTGGAACATTTGGTCGCTGTAGGGATTCTTCTTATTAAACTGATAAACTTTTATGAGCTTTGCTTTCAAGTACGAATGGAGCAGAGGATGTTTCGAACGTGTTTTATTGTGCTCATGTGTGTTCCATGAGCTTTGTAGTCACGTAAAGATTGTTTGTACCCAGAAGAATCGAAATGGTATTTTGGGGATTTCAAAAATAGTATGAACTGCACTGCGAAATAAAGGACTTGACCCGTCTTTCTCATGGAAAGAGCAGGCCAAGGAACAGCTAAGCAGCCAGTATTCTCATAACTTGTAAGGAGGCTCAGGGGAACTGTGATTTTTATGGTTCACCTAGTGTAGATCAGAATACTCCCAAATGAATGCAGACGTTCTGCCCTAACATGGTTTTGTTTCAAATCCAGTTTACTAGAGCACAAAGCCAAAACAACGAAACTGGTCACAGACTGTGTTGTGTGTTCAATCAATCAATCAATCAACCATTATTTTACCTCAGAGAACATTGAGGGTGACCCTTGTTTAGAATGTGTCCGAGTTGATACAGGAGAAGGGATTGATAATGTGTAAGAACATATCAAATAATAAAAATAAATTTAATGAAAAATGACTTAAATCAGGTAAGTATAAAAAAATGAAACGTTAATAATAAAAATACGTAAAAATACAGTAGAAAATATAAAACAGTAATTAAAAATGTAAAAGTTAATAAAGTCTAATCAAAATAAAATAAAAGGAGGATAAGATCAAAAAGTAAAAAAATAATTAAAATAATAATATAATAATACAATAATCATAATTAAGATAAGAATATGAATAATAATAAATAATGAAATATTAAAATAATGAAAATACGACAATAATGGTAAAAAATCAGGTAAAACAGTGTCAGGCAGAGTGGAGGTGGTTAGAGAGTAAGAGTTTAAAATGACCGAGTGACCCAGCGAGCTGAGCTGTAGTGTTTCCTGTAGTGAGTTCCAGCTCGTTGGTGCTGTAACTAAAAACAGATTTTCCCAGTTCAGTAAAAACTGTAATTGAAAACTCTTTATTAAAACTTAATCTTCATTCATATATTGAAGAACGACGAGTAATCTGATTGGCCCTCTTCTGTTCTTTGTGTGCAGGATGGCCAGTGAGCTGAGGGGCTGGGTTCACCGCCACGAGACCGAGCGGACCAAGAGCTGGCGCACCAGCACCACCACCACCACCAGCACCAGCAATCCCAGAAGCAGAACCATCCCGGTACGTGTCCTCAGTGGCTGTCGCATAAACATTCACTTACTGCCCCTCTTTCCCATAGGAGAGCATGAACCTCAGACGCCTCTATGTCTATAGCTGTGGGCTACACGATATTTTATCCAGAGTGACCTCAACCTCCACAAGGGGCTTTTTATATCTCAACTGATTTTGCCTTTAGTGGCATAAAGTTATTAATTTACTCTAACGTCACATTTGAATGGTTGTAGTGGTGTTCAATGAGTATTTGACGGCATTTTCAGACATAATCATTGAACAGTTATTATAAGCCTACATTGCTAATGCCCCTTATGATTTTCTTATTTTGAGGCAAACGTTTTGGTGCAAATTAAAACTTTTCCATAGTTACCATAGTTACTGGCATGGCTGTATTTATCATCATTCAGTTAAGGCTACCTACATGCTGACTAACTAGGCTAACTTGGCTAGGCTAAGATTAAAGACACGATCAATACGGTGACGGTGCTGTGGTACCTTGTCATGGGAAAGTTTTGGACAGTAATGTTCACATCATTTTTATATATTTTATATATTCTTAAATCCAAATCAAGGCTTAAGTGTTCAGTTGTGAAGTATAATTTTTTATATGTATATATATATATATATATATATATATATATATATAATATATATATAATATAATATCTGAATCTGAGTTGATTTGTCAGTCAGTAAAGGGCAGGTCCAAGTTAAACTGTGAGTTCTTATCTCTGGTTTTGGATTCTGTCATTTGTTTGTCAATAACAAGTTCATAGGCATAAATAATAACATAAATAACACCAGAATGTTTGCATGCATGTGTTTACTGACCTTTTCAATACGTATTCTGTTAGTAAACAGTTGTGATTGTTTTGTTGTGATATTTCCCCATTTTTTCATGGACATTTGTTCTCTACATTATCTACCCATCATATTATTAGGAGTTGTACAGATGAGTAGACATAGAAGTGAGTAGGTGCTTGTGAACCACAGATAAGTTACGTTGAAGAGAGGCCAGGACCCACAAGGGTTCATCTCAGTACCTTTAGTCAGGGAATGTAACTGAACCATAATCCACTGAAATGATATGTTCTAAGCTGTACTGACTCCACACACCCCGTCTCGTCTCCAGGCTTTTATTTTACTGTTCTGTTTTAAAACATTCGGTTATGAAAAGGTACAAATACACTACATCGCCAAAAGTATTCGCTCATCTACCTTCACACGAATATGAACTTGAGTGACATCCCATTCTTAATCCATAGGGTTTAATATGTTGTCGGCCCACCCTTTGCAGCTATAACAGCTTCAACTCTTCTGGAAAGGCTTTCCACAAGGATTAGGAGTGTTTATGGGAATTTTTGACCATTTTCCAGAAGCATATTTGTGAGGTCAGACGCTGATGTTGGACGAGAAGGCCTGGCTCGCAGTCTCCACTCTAATTCATCCCAAAGGTGTTCTGTCGGGTTGAGGTCAGGACTCTGTGCAGGCCGGTCAAGTTCTTCCACACCAAACTCGCTCAGCCATGTCTTTATGGACCTTGCTTCGTGCACTGGGGCGCAGTCATGCTGGAACAGGAAGGGGCCGTCCCCAAACTGTTCCCACAAAGTTGGGAGCATGAAATTGTCCAAAATCTCTGGTGCTGAAGCATTAAGAGTTCCTTTCACTGGAACTGAGGGGCCGAGCCCACCTCCTGAAAAACAACCCCACACCATGATCCCCCCTCCACCAAACTTTACACTTGGCACAGTGCAGTCAGACAGGTACCGTCTCCTGGCAACCGCCAAGCCCAGACTCGTCCATCGGATTGCCAGACGGAGAAGCGTGATTGGTCACTCCAGAGAACACGTCTCCACTGCTCTAGAGTCCAGTGGCGGCGCTTTACACCACTGCATTCGACGCTTTGCATTGCGCTTGGTGATGTAAGGCTTGGATGCAGCTGCTCGGCCATGGAAACCCATTCCATGAAGCTCTCTATGCTGTTCTTGAGCTGATCTGAAGGCCACATGAAGTTTGGAGGTCAGTAGCGATTGACTCTGCAGAAAGTTGGCGACCTCTGCGCACTATGCGCCTCAGCATCCGCTGACCCCGCTCTGTCATTTTACGTGGCCGACCACTTCGTGGCTGAGTTGCTGTCGTTCACAATCGCTTCCACTTTGTTATAACACCACTAACAGCTGACTGTGGAATATTTAGTAGTGATGAAATTTCACGACTGGACTTGCTGCACCGGTGGCATCCTATCACGATACCACGCTGGAACTCACTGAGCTCCTGAGAGCGACCCGTTCTTTCACTAATGTTTGTAGAAGCAGTCTGCAGGCCTAGGTGCTTGGTTTTATACACCTGTGGCCACGGAAGTGATTGGAATTCTGGATTCAGTGATTTGGATGGGTGAATGAACACTTTTGGCATTATAGTGTAAATACTTTTCACCTGGAAAAGCTTAAGGTTTCCAGTTGGACCTTAAAACCGCTGTTGTACCTTTTGAGGGAACATTTACATTGTTTGTGCCTTGATGAAGGAGAAATGTACCGGCACAGAACCTTTATTTCTGACAGTGTACAGGAAAATATCAGCCGGTGTGTTGGAGAGACCACCACAGCGTATCTCTGACCCAGATACAGAGCTGAGAGGCTCCATGGTTTAACGTTGTTTGTGTTCTTTAAGTAGATCTCAGATTTACTTACAGATGAAATCTGTCCTTCTCTTCTGTCTCTGCGCTCAGTCTTCACCGGCTTAATGCAGCAGCCCTGGGGAAGACAATAGCTTTTCTCTCAGCAGCCAGACACCATTCATTCATTCATTCACTCATTCATTCATTCATTCATTCACTCACTCACTCATTCATTCATTCATTCACTCACTCACTCATTCATTCATTCACTCACTCACTCACTCATTCATTCATTCATTCATTCATTCATTCATCACTCATTCATTCATTCACTCATTCACTCATTCATTCTTTGTTCTTTCTTTCTTTCTTTCTTTTCTTTCTTTCCTACTCTCTTTCTTTCTTTTTCTTTCTTTCTTTCTTTCTTTCTTCTTTCTTTCTTTCCTACTCTTTTTTCTTTTTCTTTCTTTCTTTCCTACTTTCTTTCTTTCATTCCTTCCTTCCTCCCACCTCTTTCTTTCTTTCTTTCCTACTCTTTCTTTCTTTCTTTCTTTCTTCCCACTCTTTTTTCTTTTTCTTTCTTTCTTTCCTACTTTCTTTCTTTCATTCCTTCCTTCCTCCCACCACTTTCTTTCTTACTTCCTTTCTTTCTTTCTTTCTTTCTTTCTTTCTTCCCCCTCTTTCTTTCTTTGTTTTTCATTCTTTTCTTCCCACTCTTTCTTTCATTTATCTTTCATTCATTCTTTGTTTTTTCTTTCATTCATGCTGACTTACTCTTTCTCTTTTAATTTGCTTGGTCTGTATTTTTTTTCTTTTTCGCTCATTCTGTTTTCTTTCTTACTCTCTCTTTCTTTCATGTTTGTTTGCTCATCACTTTCTTACTCACTGTTTTTTTCTCTCCTTCTCTTATTTTTTCTTCTTTTCACTCTTTCCTTCCTTCTTTCTTAATCTTATTTCTTTCCTATTTGCTTGCTCTTTTTTCATTTTCTGCCTTACTTCCTCTCTTTCTTTCTTTTTCTTTTGTCATGTCTCTTCTTTTCACTCTTTACATTCCTTCAGGTTTCTTTCTTTTTCTTTTTTCTTTCTTGCATGTTTACTGTCTCTTTCTTGTTTGCTTGCTCATTTTCTTTCCTTCTTTTTCTCTGACTTTTCATTCCTTTGCTCATTTCTCTTTTCCGCCTCCATCTCTAAGCGTATCCTGATAACCCTGTGGGGAGATGATAGTAGTGTGTAATCAGCCTCAGTAATGCACTGCTTCATTACTGTTACAGCACTGAAAGCTCTGTCTGTGTTCATAGTTCATCCAGGTTCATTCATCACTCTGTAAGCCTACACGAGGCCAGATATGTGACAGGATTAAAAGATCCTTATCCTAGATCAGCCTCGCTGGTTCAAAATGAATTGAGATAAAGCGATTGGGCCGTCTACTCCCGTCTGCTCTGTGTAAAATACGACTCGCGCACTGCAGGCTGTTTTATGGACTTGCGCGAAGCTGCAGAGGAGCTGTAAAAAAAAATCTAGAAGTGGATGTATTTGACAGCCGGGGGAAAAAGAAAGCTGGCTCAGTGCTCCTCTTGTGGTCCGAGCCAGCTGGGTCTGGTGTCGAACAGCACAAATGCCTGCGGGGCAGGCTTGAGCGAAGCCTTGGACTTGTTTACTCAAGTCTTTTATCACTTGCTTTAATCAGATGCGATTCTGCTTCAGAGAGAGAGAAAGGATTAAATAGATAATTGAGTGCAAGATGTTAACTCTTTAAAAGTGATGCCTAAATAGCAGTGCTGTGTAGTGTTGTGCTTAAATCCGCTATGTGACGAGAGCTTAGCCATTAACATGCAACCCCTTTTATCACTGCAGGCCTGTACAGTGTCAGTCTATTTTAAGTCTACTTAAACATGAACTTGCCTCTTGCTGTTTTATGTAACCATTCTTACACAAATACACATGCAGGCATAACATTACGACCACCTCCTTGTTTCTACGCTCATTGTCCATTTTATCAGCTCCACTTACTGTATAGGTGCACTTTGTAGTTCTACAGTTTCTCTGATACTTTGTTAGCCCCCTTTTACCCTGTTCTTCAGTGGTCAGGACCCCCATGGACCCTCACAGAGCAGGTACTATTTGGGTGGTGGATCATTCTCAGCACTGCAGTAACACTGACGTGGTGGTGGTGTGTTAGTGTGTGTTGTGCTGGTCCGAGTGGATCAGAAACAGCAGTGCTGCTGAAGTTTTTAAACACCTCAGTGTCACTGCTGGACTGAGAATAGTCCACCAAGCAAAAATATCCAGCCAACAGCGTCCTGTGGGCAGCTTCCTGTGACCACTTATGAAGGACCAGACGATGACCAACACAAACTGTGCAGCAGCAGATGAGCTATCGTCTCTGACTTTACATCTACAAGGTGGACTGACAAGGTAGGAGTGTCTAATAGAGTGGACAGTGAGTGGACACAGTGTTTAAAAACTCCAGCAGCACTGCTGTGTCTGATCCACTCGTACCAACACAACACACACTAACACACCACCACCACATCAGTGTTACTGCAGTGCTGAGAAAGACCCACCACCCAAATAGTACCTGCTCTGTGAGGGTCCATGGGGGTCCTGACCACTGGAGAACAGGGTAAAAGGGGGCTAACAAAGTATGCAGAGAAACAGATGGACTACAGTCTGTAACTGTAGAACTACAAAGTGCACCTATATAGTAAGTGGAGCTGATAAAATGGACAATGAGCGTAGAAACGAGGAGGTGGTCATAATGTTATGCCTGATCGATGTATATCATCTATTCCACTTGACCAAGAACCTGTAATTCCATGGCTAGTGGCTAGTGTCCATCTTTAGTAGAATACCACTGATCTCTTATTATTAATTCCACAGGCGTAAAGAACTGAATTGCGAATGTCAATCAATCAACCTTTATTTAAACTCTGAATACATTGAGGGAGACCCTCTTTTACAGTGTAGCTGAGCAATACAGAAATCAGGGGTTGAGCAGCTGGGTAGTAAAAATAAATGTAATAAAATAATAGTAAATATGTAATAATATGAAGGTTCCAATAAACCGTTAAATCAATACCCCATTAAAATTACAATAGAGTAACTTAGCAAGCAACAGATCAGACAAGCATAAAATAAATAAAAAATTCAATGAAATAAAAGAAATAGAAGATGCAAGACAATAAATTCACAATAATAAAATGAATAAAAAGTAAAATAAATAAAAAGAATACTAATAGAAGAAACAAAAAGAATAAAAATAATCATAAAAAGTAAAGAAGTAACAAGTAAAACAGTAGCCAAGACATAGCTATAGCATGTCATACCAACTCAACCATCTGAGGCCACTTAGCTTAGCCTGATGCCTTCTTCTCTGAAGCCATTTAGCCTGAGGCTGTCTGAAATGGTCTGTTTTGCCTGATGAACGAGAGCTGAGACATCATTTTACACATGGTTTTACCAAGACCTGTTTTGTCTGATGTCTGAAACCTGGCAATAGATGCCTTTTTGAAGGCATGATATCTGCCTGCGGTATGAATCACATTCAACCAGTGCAGCTCAACAGCTGCGCAGATCTCATTTCTGTTGGGTACGATAAATATGGCATTAATGTAGCATATCAGTTTACCCAGCATGGTTAAAAGTTCAATTATGCTAGTATCTTGCTATGATTTCCTTAAAATTAATCAATAAATGAGTTAATAATTTTTAAACCCGTGGTAAATGAGGTTTTACCATCGCTGGAGGCCGCTACTGCTGTAACTCTGTTAATCTTCACTGGACACAGGCCTAGGTATGAGCCAGTACTCACTGTAATTGTAATATCTCTAATCTTTAGACCTCACTAGTGCAAATAACCCAGTCATTTGCCTGCAGAGAGTTGTAAATAGACTAGTGTGTTGACAGACAGGTGTTTCCCAGAACCTGAAAGCTGTAATTTGAACCCATTCATTAAAGTGACCCATTAGGGAACCATGCTAGTCCCAGGGACCAAATCAAAATAAATGCTTTAAGGTGGTCATTATCAGCCTAAAACAGCCTGACAGGAGCCCAAGGACGCACCCATTGCCTCATGGCACACCTATTCATGCTCTCATCCGTTCTCTTTGATTATGAACAGTATTAATTAGCAGCTGTTCCTTCATCCTGCTCTTTTTTTCTTTCTTTGTTCTCAGAAAACGGGCAGCAAGAAAGTGGAGGTGGCGCAGATTGCGACTGTCCAGTATTCGGACTCTAATGAAAAGTAAGTGTTGCTCATCAAGCATTGGAGTTCTTCACATTCAAGTTAATCAGTATTCTGTTTCAGGTGGAGTTCAGTCAGAAATGCCTGTTTGGTTAACAATGAATGGAAAGTGCCGAGCACCACTTAGCATGATGTCATTTGGTAGCTATCATCCTTTATGAATTTTTAGCAATATTTGGATTTTGGTTGACTTTCTTTAAGCCTTTTTAATCGTTTAATGGTCCTTAATAACTCAAGCCAAAGTAGAGTCTTTGTGCATATATCCAACTAGACTCTAGTAGCAAACGGCTTACAAAATACTTAGATTTTAATTCTTTGATTTAATTCTTTGATGTTTGGATCACTGTCGTTTTGGTGAATGGCATTTGTAAGCATCCACATAGACTTTATGATCAAGTCATGTATGCTACAAGTTAAAATGTTTTTTATTTATTTATTTATGTGGACAAATATTTTACAGATAAGTCTGTTTCACCACAACCAATGCATGTTTACTGACACCTAGTTTAACCAATCTAGTTTTTCCAAACTATATTGGTTGTGTTCAGTGACGGTCTCTATCATATTATACTGGAAAAGCCTTAATGAACTGTGTCCAACAGAGCATACTGTGTACTGTATACTGCATACTACACTTTTATACACTGCATTCTCATGTTTCGTGTGACATCACACAGTATAGGCGCCACCATTTTGAGGACCGAATCAGGGAGTGACTGCGCTGCACGATGCCTTCAATTTGCTGTGCTTTGTGAATGATTCACCCGCAAGATGCGACAGAAGCTGAGAGACGAGAGACACACAGACCTTTAATTCAGTGTTTTCACTCCAGGCTTGGAGCCGCTGCACTGTACAGTTTAGTGTTTCTCTGCTGTTCACCTCGTTCAGCTCAAGAAGGGATTAATTAGATAATAATATCAGGTATTTTAACCAGGAAATCACAGGTATGCAGTGCAGGGGTTTCAGGACTGGAGCTGAACTCTGAACTAACTGCTCTAGCAAACTTACAGAATCACGTCTGTTGAAACACGACGTCGTTTTCCGACCCACGACATTCAGTCTGATATTTAACGATTATGATTCTCCATTCAAACGTCATTTAAATCTCCAGGAACAGAGAGTAAAGTTATACCGGCTGTCTGCAGCTCCGTTAGGGGGGCGACTGTTCATCTCTCGGCTGATAACATCAGCTAAAGTTCTCTAAAGGCCAGCATTGATCACATCTGTGTTAATTAGCTGATGTCGTTCCTCCTATGATCAGAGTGTTTCTCCTCTTTATGAACACCATGAGATCCTTTACCCACCCTGACGTGAAGAGCTGGTGGGCTTCTGTGCTTTTAAATGCTTTGAGAGACTCTCCAGAATAAAAGACATTCTGGTGCCTTTAAGGCGGAACAGGAAAATACGAACAAGAAGCTGGCGAATAACTGACTTCAGCTTCATATTACTGAAGAATTAGGGGTGGGTGATAATAAATTAAGGCGACCCTCGAAAACAAGGGTAGGGGTGAAAATAAGAAATGAACTTGCAGCAAGTGAAGGACGCCGGGTGGCTAGTTCAAGCAAATAGGTAGGGTTTAAATGGCCGAGCACCTGGGGACTTTTACATTATGAATATTTTAAGTATTCATGTAATATTTCAAGTTCAGGTTATAGCACGACATTAATTAAAAATGAAATAAAACCATTTTTTTCTCTGGCCCACAGATTTGATGAGATTTTTTAACGTGGATTTTACTGGTTGTGTTCGAGATTGCAGAATGAAGTGAGAGCTTGATTTACCAACACTGGCCAGTATTTCCAACAGAACATGCATTTAATTATTCATTTCTATATTTTTTTAGACAGACTGAAGCACGGCTCGGCTTAAGAAGCCCTGCCCTGCTCGTGTTTCAAGCTGAGCGTGGATGTAATGTTGCTATTTTTACACCTTCTTTCGTGCTTGCGTTATTTTTTTGGCCGATCTCACCACTTTCCCTCAGAGTAAATCATGTTTTCGGGTTTGGCCGTCGTTCCTCTGGCTTCGGCCCAGGACTGTGCCAAATTAGGCATGACTGCGTCGTTCCACTGTCAACACACCGACAGCAGGGGAAAAAACACATTTACACAGGCAGGAAAATGTTTCACTGTACAATAAATTGATCTGAAGGTGACCATGCTTTTGTATAAGTTGCTAGGCAGTCGATTCATTCTGAAGGGTTTTGTTTCGTGTTTTGATTGTGATCAAATGTGAACGAAATACCTTAGCGTGTGTTGACTAGAGCTGAAAGTGAAAAACTGTATGACAGCATTAATATTTCTGTTGTTCTGGCAGTTCTAACACAAAACCTCTCTGTGGGATCAAGCGGAGAGGTTGTTAGTGAAAATCTTTCATTTCTTACACAAACTGCTCAGGGCTTTTCATCTGTGCCGCTATATCGGTCATATCTAGTACATTTCCATGCAAATCATGAGCAAGTTTGTAGACTTTGTGTTGTATCATGGTGAAACCTCACTTGATTTTGCTGAAAAGCCATTTCTCGTTAGTATAGGATGCACAAACATCAGCAGCCAAGATCAAAATCTGCCAGTTTTTACTCCAAAGCATGGAATCGGTCATTTTTTTTTTAATTTTTCTTCCGTTTTGGCTGTTCTGTGCTGTGCTTTTATTCTGTATATAACACATCAGGTACTGACACTACATTCAAATACTCCTGCTTCATCAAGACAGTAGCATATTATGCCAACAGCATAGTTGGTTACGTAGCCAGTTGCTTTCAGTGTAATATTTTATTTGGTTTTATGTTCTGATTCTGAAATAGCTGGACTGATTTCTTGTTTAAGAGTAAAAATGCCAGGTAAGATGCTTTAAAGAGCAAATAATGTTGTTTATATTGTATCTTTGGCTAATAGAAAGTACTGGAAATATGCTAGTGCAGTGGTTTTCAACCTGTGGTGGTACGTGGGGACTATGGGGACGTTTGCAATAATTTATTAATTTAATCATTCATTTATTTATTTAATCACAAAACTTTATTACAATATATAGACATTTAACAAAACATAATTTTAAGCATGACTCTTATTAAAAAAAATAAATAATAAAACACCATATTTAGATCTGATTGGTCTGGCAAAATACATGACCAGCATAACTCATGCAACTAGCTAGTTATGTTTATATTTTCAGTGCAGATCAATGTAAAATGCTTCTCTATTTGATCATATGGATTTCATCCATCATGGACAAATGGCTACTAATAGAAAATTTTAGGATATTTTTTAGTGTTTATTATGTTGTGTGATTATACAGTCAAGTGGAATTCATTGGGCTACATTGATTATAGTGTTACATTGGTTTGTGTTTTAATTGATTGGCCTTGGAACTGTTTGTGCTCGGATGTGAAGCTGCGAGTTGCAAAAGGTTTTTTTTACCATCTGCTTTAAAAAAAAACGAATCAGTTGGCCAAACAATCAGTCACTGGACAATTTGTAAAGTAATCTGTATTTGCAATAAGCAGTAAAAAGGTCATGGTCTGGTATTTAAAGGTTTGATTTTTTCCCTTGTCTTTAGACGTCAAGGCAACGAGCTGCAAGTGTACTACGCCCCTCACCGCACTTACAGCGACTTCTTTGATGAGATCAACCGTCGAGGAGACACCTTCTACGTGGTCTCTTTCCGCAGAGTGAGTGGCCTTTTTATTCCAATCTCCCACTCATGCACTCGGTGTGTATGTGAAGATGAACAGAGGTCATGAGAAACTTTTCTCTGAAACTGGAGCTTTGATATTTCATGGACTTCTCAAATAACTGCAGAACCAGACGTATTGGTTTTCCAAGTAACTGATGCTGTTTAAGTTGGCCTTGAGTTGAAGTTGAAGAAATTCTGTTACATCAATTTAACTCAGCGCTGCCTGAGTTGAGGTCAGGCGGGGGCTAACAAGTTCTACTTCGTAGGAGCCTCTGGACTTTCAGCATTTGTTCAAAGTTTAGACACACTTACCTGACACTTTATTATACACACCTGCCTCGTGGGTACACAGTGTAAGAGCAGGTGTGAGATGATATCTGTTTTCATGCGGAGTTGGTGGTAGTCATCTTCTAGCCCTTCATCATTGGTCAGTTTCTGACCACAGGGCCACTTTTTCGTGGACATTGTTTGATTGGTGGTCTATTCTCAGGTTTTTAAAAACTCCAAACACAGCTGTGCCTTATGTGCTTCTACCAGAGCAACACCTACGATTATAACAGTCACCTCTGGCTGCACTCTGGTTGGCAGATATGTGGATGGATGGATGGATGGATGGATGGATAGACAGATAGATAGATGGATAGATGATGGATGGATGGATGGTTAGATGGATATATGATGGATGGATAGATGGTTAGATGATAGATGATGGATGGATGGATAGATGGTTAGATGGATATATGATGGATGGTTGGATGGAAGGATAGGTGGATGGATGGATGGATGGATGAATGGTTAGATGGATAGATGATGGATGGATGGATGGATGGTTAGCTGGATAGATGATGGATGGATGAAAGGGTGGATGGATGGATGGATGGTTAGATGGATAGATGATAGATAGATAGATAAGTAGATAGGTAGATAGGTAGATGGGTGGATGGGTGGATAGATGGATGGATAGTTAAATGGATGGATGGATAGATGGATGGATGGATGGATGGATGGATGAGATAGATAGATAGATAGATAGATAGATAGATAGATAGATGGTTAAGTGGATGGATGGATGGGTGGATGGATAGATGGATGGATAGATGGCTAGCTGGATAGATGATGGATGGATGGATGGATGGTTAGTTAGATAGATAGATAGATAGATAGATAGATAGATAGATGGTTAAGTGGATGGATGGATGGATGGATGGATGGATAGATAGATGGTTAAGTGGATAGATGGATAGATGGTTAGATGGATGGATGGATGGACGTTTAGATGGATGGATGGATAGATGATGGATGGTTAGATAGATAGATGGTTAAGTGGATGGATGGATGGATGGATGGATAGATAGATGGTTAAGTGGATGGATGGGTGGATGGTTAGATGGATAGATGATAGATAGATTAGACATAGACATAGACAGATAGACTGTGTGTGTGTGTGTGTGTGTGTGTGTGTGTGTGTGTGTGTGTGTGTGTGTGTGTGTGTGTGTGTGGTCTACATACAGCAGGCCTACATTAAGTTCTGAACCTTCTGAACCTTGTTAATCTGTCACATGTTGCAAAAGCTAAGCTGAACCTGATATTGTGACAGTTTTATAACTCTATATTTTTTGTTTTTATTTTTACTTCATTTTGCAGAACTGTTGTATAAAATCAATAGAATATTCAAATTTGAGGCCATGTGTCATCATCAATAACATCATGGCTTTAATGATCTGTGAGCAAATTACCTTAAACATACCACCACCACGTTGATGTCACTGCTGCGCTGAGAATGGTCCAGCCCCCGAATAATATCAGTGATGTTCCTGATGGTCCCTTTCCATTCATGGCTGGCGTAGAGGGGAGCCGATTAATTGGGCACCAGCGGATGGACTTCAGTCAGTAATTGAAAACATACAGTGCAACTACGTGGTCAGTGTTTCTGATTGAATGGCATCGTGCAATAAACTGACAGCTCAGTGGATCTTGGTGAAAGATATTGAGATGTTGTTCTAGGTTCTTGTGTATATGTTTCTTAGTCCCTAAACTGATTCAGCTCACTGGCCAATTACCAAACCCTCAGGGCAAAGAAAACACTGAACTGTGCATTGCAGGGATCCCACAGGACCGTAACTCAGAACCGCTGTCTTTGACAGTATTTTCCCATGCACAGCAACAGTTCCACTGCCACTCCCAGCACCTCCCCTGATTGTAAACAAATTGATGTGCTGTTAATAAAGTATGTGAGAAGACGTTGAAGCTGGGATGCCAGGCTTTGGGCTTGGCTCTCGCCAAAACCTCCACCCTTTTTAATTGAAAGAGGAACCATATGGCCTCGTTCAGTGAAACACTGAACAAACAGCTCTGCTGTGATTCAGAGGTGCATAGATGTGTCCAAGAAGAAATGAGCCCGCACACACAAGTGTACGCTCACGGCGTTGGACAGCGTGAGGCCCACAAGGCCCTGTGTTTCGATAGGTTTCGATCTGACCTCATTTGTAACCGTCAACACAAGGTTTTAGTGTTTACCTCGTCTTCTCTTGTGGTTTTCGGGCTTGTTTGTGTTTCTCCCAACACTCCAGCCATACTTGCTTTCGATTAAGCACTCCGATGATGTGAATCATGTTGGAGGAAAGCTGATAATTGCTTTTGTTGAAGGGTCACACCCCCCCCCTGCACAACATGGAGCAAATGCGCTCATTTTTTGTTCTGTCCTTAAGTATAAAATAAACAGGAACCCGATGTTATGAGGTGTCTCATCCATCTTATGACTTACAGTAATACAGTAACTCCCTCCCAACGGTTACTTCAGAAATATAAAAAAAACAAAAGCACGGTTGGGTTTTGCCCGATCTCAACCAAACTCTTCTCGTGAAACATAACCCTCTATTGCACGATGTTGCCTCAGGGCAACAAACATTCTCCTCACTTTACAATAACATTATACATATTTAAGGACACTGACAGGGTTAACAATAAAGGGCAGAGATCAAGTAAGTCAGTAAAAAAGCATGCATTGGTCTTACTGTCTCTTAGTGGGCACTTTCAAACCTCTTTTTAACATTCAGTATCATTTTTCAGTTACGTGAAATTGCAGAAATGTGTTTGTTGCCTAGAAGCAACATTGTGCAACAGTGGAATGGATTCAGCCAGTCACAAGCCAGATCTCACCACTTCAGGGAACACGGATCTATATCATTTCGGCCCATTGTCGCACAATGTTGCCACAAGGCAACATACCCCAAAAAGACCCCTGCACAGATTATTGTTTAAAAAATGATTTGAATTCAGTAATCAGGTCAATTTTATGCAAGAAAAGTCAATCAGATTTTTTTTTTTTAATTGCTCTCGTAATGTGTGCAGTAGAAGGTTAAACAAGGACGTGACTAATACATCTGAAAGCACTTCTGAGAGCTTGAGACCGGTTTGCCTTCCTTTGTGTAAATGGATGCGCCCTCCAAACAAACAGATCTTTCTCACAAGGCCAATATAGCAGTCACTGGGTTTCCCAGTGCGTAACTGACTGGCTGCCCTCGTCTTTGGGGGTCTTACCGAAAAATTGGTTGATGGTTTCATGAGTCAGGCAGCAAAACATCAGCCTTGTTTGCTCAGGAAGAAGCAGCGTCTGAGGATTGCTTCGTCTCCCCTCCTCTTCCACTCCGTTCCACTGAAATGTCTTGGACTTGTTGACTTCTATGACTACAGTAAGCCCCCCTTAGCTTTTATGACTTCTCTTTGGCTATGAAAGATGGCCTGATGGGCTCCTACGTGACTTTTTCTTCAGCCAAGGCCAGGTTTGCAGAATAAGATCGTCACTGAATAGCTGAGATGTTTCGTCATGGACCTAATATCGGCATCAGAATTCCAGTTTGCACTCTTCCAGTGCTGGACGTGGAGAAAATGGAGCTGAGCCTCTGAAGGCCTTTTTGTTCAAAGAGCTATCAGTTGCTTGCATGACCCCAAGTGTTTAATTTTCACTCCTTTATTTAACTTCTTGTATTAAACATGCTTCTCCTCTTTCTAATGTGAACCAGGGGCAGTACGTTTATTTCCAGTAACTTGGGCCAGATCTATCTGGTTTATATTTACCCTATGAGTTTAAATCAAAGGCTTGTTGCAGCAACGCACATTTCTTCCCAAGAGCAACTTGGGTAACTTTTATGAGACGAGGAGTGCCAGGATGTAGACGGGAGAGATCGGAGACAAGCTGAATGGAAGGTGTTCTCTGGAGGCTTGTAGAACACGCTGTACTTGAAGATAGTCGCTGTGGTCGCGTTTTAATTTTTATAGCCTTTATTAGGTTTTTCCTGTCTGGTTATTTGCTTGTATTTTGTTTCTTGGGTTGCAGGGTGTGGGTCTCTATGGGGTTCCTTTCGTGTGAGGAGGTTCCGTTCCTGCCAGAGCTCACGCTGGACTTCATTTAAAATCTCATGCTGGACTTGAAATCTACTTTGAATTAATTTATATCTCAACATTTCCAGCATGTTTTGTCGTCATTGTAGGGGTTTCTGTTCCTCTCTTGCTTGTTGCTGTGGTACAACTTTGTGTCCTGGAAACTTTATTGGGAAGGGAGAACATGTTCTTGAGTTTAATTTGCGGTAATGTCACAAGGTTTTATTTTATGTAAGTCATTTTGGACTAATTCTAATGGTCCGTTCATTTCAGCTTTCATTGGGCGTGAAATTTTAGGCCGAAAAAGCAAGTCTGACCCAAACCACAGCACCTGAAGTCTGAACCAGGTCCAATCAAATTCTGCTCAAGCACGACCCGATCAGAAACACATCGCGTATTTGTCTGAGACTGATCCAAGCCCAATAAAGTTCTGTCCAAAACTGACTTGAACCTGCTCATTGTTACTAAATGCTGTATAAAACCTGATTTTTCTAATGATGGCAAGAGTTTCATGAACCCTCTACTGCACGCATTATGAGAGCAATTAAAAAATAAAGAAATAAATATTCTATTCACTTTTCTTGCACAAGATGGACCTGATTGTGTGTGCAGGGATCCTTTTGGGGTTTGTTGTCCGGGAAGAAATGATATACAGCCGTGTTCGCTGAGGTGGTGAGACCTGGCTTGTGGCCGGCTAAATCCATTCCACTGTCACACAGTGTTGCTTCTAGGCAACAAACCTATTTCCGCAAATTCTCACAATAAAAAAGTGATACTGAAGCCTGAAAAAGAGGTTTAAAAGTGCCCACTAAGAGATAGTATGATCAAGTACATGCTTTTATTGACTTACTCAAACTCTTTCCTTTATTGTTAACCCTGTGTTTGTCTTTAAATGTGAATAATGTTATCGTGAAGTGAGGAAAATGGGTTTGTTGCCCTGAGGGCAACATTGTGCAAAAGAGGGTTAATATGTATACTATTAGAAATAAAGGTTCTCTGCAGGTACATTTTTCATTCTTTAAGGTACAAACAATGTAAATGTTCCCTCAAAGGTTCAACAGTGGTTTTAAGGTCTGATTGTGAACCTTAAATAAGTTTTTCCAGGTGAAAAGTTCGTATTTGTACCTTTTCATAACCAAATGTTTTAAAACAGAACAGTAAAATAAAAGCCTGGAGACGAGACGGGGTGTGTGGAGTCAGTACAGCTTAGAACATATCATTTCAGTGGATTATGGTTCAGTTATGTTCCCTGACTAAAGGTACTGAGATGGACTCTTGAGGGTCCCACCCCAGTGACAAAAGGGGCACTGCCCCAGTGACGGTTTAGTACCTTTTTTTCTGAGAGTGTAGAGACAATAATAGCAGTAATATTTTCAGGGATAAGTACAGTTTTTAAAAATGACGTACAATCATGTATAAAATAATCATCTGGCCAAAAACAAGTTTACATACTGCCTCAACAAATTAATTCATTTATTCGTTCAATGCTTTTGAAGAAGGTTTTTTATCTGGATAAGCTTTCTATACTGCGCTGTTCTCACACTGTGTGGCGCTGATATAGCAAAATATTGGCCTTCATCTTTTTAAACTTTAAACTTAAAATTTCCTTACATAGATAATGTTACATGCCATATTGAATATATACAGTACAGTGTATGTGACTCCAGCAGCACTGCTGTGTCTGATCCACTCAGACCAGCACAACACACACTAACACACCACCACCACGTCAGTGTTACTGCAGTGCTGAGAACGATCCACCACCCAAATAGTACCTGCTCTGTGAGGGTCCATGGGGGTCCTGACCACTGAAGAACAGGGTAAAAGGGGGCTAACAAAGTATCAGAGAAACAGATGGACTACAGTCTGTAACTGTAGAACTACAAAGTGCACCTATATAGTAAGTGGAGCTGATAAAATGGACAATGAGCGTAGAAACAAGGATGTGTCCTTGTTTTATGCCTGATCGGTGTATATTTTAAGAATGTGGGCTATAATTAAAGAATATTGCAGCTCTTACGATTTGAAAATTGCACTGCTATAAATTGCGATTTCTATAAAAAAACGGTTAATCTTTCAGCCCTACTGTGACGTTAGCAGTGTAGCATTGCTGGCCTATGTAACGTCACAGTCATGTCAAAACCTCATAACACAGTTTTGTTTGGTTTTGTTATTATTTGTCAAAGCTGTGGGTTTGAAGGCCTCATCACTGACAGGAATACATCAGTTAAAGGACCTCATACTGCTCTGCAGGACCCCAGCAGGGTTCTTCTCTCTGTCTGTCTCTCTGTCTGTCTGTCTCTTTCTCCTCCATCTCTTCTCTTTCTTTAATGTAAGCAGCAGATCCCATAGAAATGGGATTTGGCCCCACTAGCCTCACATGTGCTCCAGGTCACATACTGCAGAGCGATGGCTATAACATGCCGCTCCATGTTTCTAATAGCCTTTACTGTCTCCCTGCGGATCGTTCAGCTTCAGATAGACACATTTTCCGTCTGGGTTCTATACAAACTCCCTCCGCTCTCTCGAATATCAGTGAGATAGTGAGAGCGAGATGACAGGTGTTACGTGTTTTGGCAGATATTTGTCCTTCCTGTCTGTACGGTTTGGGGATTTGACTGGTGCAACATGTGTCTAGAGCTTCCAGTGGTACAGTAGAATCAGGTCACCATAGACAGGTTTTCTTCTGATGAGCAAACCACAGAAGATCTCATGTCCCATGTTAACCAACAAATTTACATATAACTTACATAACATTATGACCACCTCCTTGTTTCTACGCTCATTGTCCATTTTATCAGCTCCACTTACTATATAGGTGCACTTTGTAGTTCTACAGTTACAGACTGTAGTCCATCTGTTTCTCTGATACTTTGTTAGCCCCCTTTTATCCTGTTCTTCAGTGGTCAGGACCCCCATGGACCCTCACAGAGCAGGTACTGTTTGGGTGGTGGATCATTTTCAGCACTGCAGTAACACTGACGTGGTGGTGGTGTGTTAGTGTGTGTTGCGCTGGTCTGAGTGGATCAGACACAGCAGTGCTGCTGGAGTTTTTAAACACCTCAGTGTCACTGCTGGACTGAGAATAGTCCACCAACCAAAAATATCCAGCCAACAGCGTCCTGTGGGCAGCGTCCTGTGACCACTTATGAAGGACTAGAGGATGACCAACACAAACTGTGCAGCAGCAGATGAGCTATCGTCTCTTTTTATGATATATTTAGTTCTGGGTAATCTTTTGTTAATTATATGTATCCTGCTTTCTTGCTGATGCTGAAATTGAATAACTTGTGCTTAATGGCCATTTTGACTGGAAATGAAATAAGCGAGGGGTGGCCTTTCACTTTCGCCCAGTGCTTTAAACCTGTTTTTAATCTGACTGTCTGAGCGACGTTTGAAGCTCTCAATACTGAATTTTTTATCAGTGCGCTCTGAAGTCCTTATCAAGAGAGTCCCCTTCTCTTCATGTGGCCTACAACAGCATTTGAAGCGTTTATCACGATGCTCGGCTCCATAATATCCGCAAAGCTACAAAGCAGGTTTGTACATATGCGTGGCTTTGAAGTTAGCTTTGTGCAGCAACAGCTGAGCTGTGAACCCTGTTATCCATCTGGAGGATCTCCAGGCACTCTGTCAGATTTACGGCTGAGCTCAGTGGCCTTCACTCTTTGATGTACGACATCATCTGTAGCGGTGCCCTATTTTCTCATTCTTGTGTGTCATTTATGCTGTGTTGTCACCCTTTAACTCGTCATATCATTTGCCGGTCACTCGTTCCGCTGTCTGTGGGGAAGGTTTGGGTTTTACTGAATGGGAAAACTCTCACTCTGACACTTATGACAAGATTTCCTAGAGCTGTTGGGCGGCTTTCGTGCCTGGCTGTGTTCTGTTCTGTATTGGCATCTTGTGATTCATAATAAGTTGTTTGTAGTCAACTCTTCCCTCTCTTTCTGCTTCAGGATCACCTTCTTCTTCCTGCCACCAACCACAACAAAGGAAGCAGGCCCAAGATGTCCGTGTTGCTGCCAGCGATGAACATCAATGGTGAGAGGTTTTTCTTTCCTTATAGAGAGCACTGTAAAAGTATCAGCTATCTGTTTGTGTAAATCCACTCTTTCTCTTGGCCAGTTGCTTCAGAGACAACAGAAACATTTTGCTTTGGTGATGCTTCAGCGAAGTGAGCGAAACCGCCTGTTACTTTTGGAGAAAGGACAATTAGATTTTTGGTTCCCCAGCCAGATGGCTCTGGCCAGGCCGTGGCCATCCCTCTGCTTTCTTTGCTTTCTGTGCAGAACATGCCTGAGAGGTTATCCAGGTTAGCTCAGAGGATTAAGATGATAACGTGTAGGCTGCATATCAGCTGCCTGGGGCTGATCTGCGTTTGGATCGGACTTATTCTGTGAGCTCAACCCATCGACAGTTCATCTGTTCCAGATGTTCTTAGTTTTTTTGTTTTTTTATCTTTTGCTTACATTCACCCAAATCATTTTGCAGACTCAGCTTTTGAATCGTCTGCCTTGCAGGAACTTGTGTCTCTCCGTTTCTATTTGGTGTCATTAGGGTTACAAAATCAATCAGCATTGTTGTTGAACAAATATACTTATTAAAATTTTTTCTGATGCACCGTTTATTTGGGAAAGACACAGTGGACCAGATTACCGCCAGCCAAATAGCACAGTGGTGGAGGTGGGCGATATGGCGCAAATATCACGATACTTCACAATATGTCACGATATTTTTTTTATTTTTTTTTTTTTACCCGATTTTCTCCCCGATTTAGTCGTCTCCGATTCCACCCGCTAGTTAGGACTCCCCCAATCACACGATGCTATCAACGCTAGGAGGGTGAAGGCTAACACAGGCTTCCTCCGAGACCTGTGAAGCACCACCGCTTCTTTTCGAACTGCCGCTCACGCAACGTCACTGGACAGCTGAACGCGCTCGGAGGAAAGCGCCAACCGCCAGATCTGTTACGTCAGCTAACAGACGCCTGCGCTGACTAGCATCGCGCTGAGTGATGGGGGGAGAAGGAGGGGCCATCCCACCCACCCAGAGAGAGCGAGGCCAATTGTGCTCTCCCGGCTACGGATGGCTGTAGCATCACCAGGGATCGAACTCGCGATCTCCTGATCATAGGGCCAACGCTTAGACGGTTGCGCCACTCGGGAGCCCCACGATATTTTTTTAATTTCTGAAATCTGAAATGTTGAAACAGAAAAAGGAGCCATTAGTCATTAGTGCCACATTTTTAAAAAATGAAAAAATGTACAAAAATTTAAAAGTACAAATTCATTTTATTTCACATTTCATACTTTATTGCCCTAAATGAAATGAAATGAACCTTTTTAGCCAACTGTGTCTGAACACGTCGGAATTAGACCTCCGCATTTAACCCAACCGTGCAGTGAAACACCACATACACACTAGTGAGCTTGCCCAGGGCGGTGGGCAGCCCTATCCACGGCGCCCGGGGAGCAGCTGGGGGTTGGTGCCTTGCTCAAGGGCACCTCAGTCACATACTGTTGGCTCAGGAGATCAAACCGGCGACCTTCCGGTCACAAGGCTGGTTCCCTAACCTCCAGCCCACGACTGCCCCCTTTTTTAAATCCAATTTAAAAAAGGTTTATCATGTTCTCTTTGTTATGAAACATGCCACTGGGCCATGTTCTAGAACAGGGGTGTCCAGTCTTATCAACAAAGGTGTGGCTACAGGTTTTCACTCCAAACAACCTGACCCCACTTGTTTAATCAGTTGGTCTTAGTTTTCAAACACGTCACCTGATGAAGTCCTGCTTTGTTGGAGTGAAAACCTGCAGCCACACCGGCCCTCTGCGGATAAGATCGGACACCCCTGTTCTAGAAGTACAGATGATATCCACGATATCTTTCACAGTAACGATGATAGCATGTGCACTGTAGCACCCAAACAGGTGCTGAGCACTTATCATTAATATGACACCTCATTAACGTGTTGATTCTCAGTGTCTTTGACCAAAAACATGTATAAACAAGGAGGACGGGAAGGACAGACCAGTGCTGATCACCTCCGCAGTGACTTGATGAATAGGACTTCATTACTGTGCTGCACGTTTTTGTCGTGGAGTGGTGTGGTTACCGATGAGGCTTATAAATCTGGCCCATTGCTCTTTCGTCCAAAGTACTGTACTTTTTTCCAAGGCTGAAAACCTTGAGGATCAGCCAGTACTGATCTTATACCACTAAGCTTTAAAATGATTTGATTCAAGATGAGCATTTAAAGTAGGCTGTCATGCTCAGACTACTCAAACACAGCCCACTACATCACATCACACATTGCGAGTGGGTGCTTTTAGCATAGGTTTACTGGATTTAATTGGATTTATTTTTTCACTTTAAATATCTGATCCAGCATTTCCTGCTGGTATCGTCTGTATTATGATAGTTTTGAGACTTATTTGTTTATTTGATATTGTGAGAAATGGCTGCCTCAGTGACAGAACTGCCAAATCAGAGTCATGCATGGTGATCCAAGCTTATTCAGACAGTGACTCATGACTGAGCATCTGTTTAAGAAGGTATTTGGTGTAGCTCTTTTTTTTCCCTACCAAACTTTGACTGTGCAATTTTTTTTCGTGTATTTTAACCAGTTTTTTCCAGTTCAGTCCTCACTGCGCAATGCTAGCAAGACAGGTTTTAGTGCGCCTGAATTAGTGTTTAATAAGCAATGAAAGTGTTTGATGAGATATTAATGGACCAGTAAGTAGCTCCCAAGTGAGATATTACTGAATAGAATCTGGTAGGAGCAACTTATGGACCTATTGTCCATATATTAGACCCATATATACACACTGATCAGGCATAACACCTGGCATGTGACCACCTCCTTGTTTCTACACTCATTGTCCATTTTATCAGCTCCACTTACTATATAGGTGCACTTTGTAGTTCTACAGTTACAGACTGTAGTCCATCTGTTTCTCTGATACTTTGTTAGCCCCCTTTTACCCTGTTCTTCAGTGGGTAGGACCCCCATGGACCCTCACAGAGCAGGTACTATTTGGGTGGTGGATCATTCTCAGCACTGCGGTAACACTGACGTGGTGGTGGTGTGTTAGTGTGTGTTGCACTGGACTGAGTGGATCAGACACAGCAGTGCTGCTGGAGTTTTTAAACACCTCAGTGTCGCTGCTGGACTGAGAATAGTCCACCAAACAAAAATATCCAGCCAACAGCGTCCTGTGGGCAGCGTCCTGTGACCACTGATGAAGGACTAGAGGATGACCAACACAGACTGTGCAGCAGCAGATGAGCTCTCGTCTCTGACTTTACATCTACAAGGTGGACTGACAAGGTAGGAGTGTCTAAGAGAGTGGACAGTGAGTGGACACAGTGTTTAAAAACTCCAGCAGCACTGCTGCGTCTGATCCACTCATACCAACACAGCACACACTAACACACCACCAAAGTGCACCTATATAGTAGGTGGAGCTGATAAAATGGACAATGAGCGTAGAAACAAGGGGGTGGTCATAATGTTATGCCTGATCGGTGTGTGTGTGTATAGATATGTATAGTTTTTCAATTTTCATGATAATTGGGGCAATAGAAATGCTCCAGAATCAAACCTCTTTACATTAACTTACATTAAAAGCCTTTTTCGGTAATACTTCTTTACTTTTTTAATTTTTTTGAACAGCAACAATATACTTATGTTACCAATATTACTTTATTCCAGCATCCAGTGAATCAAACATTGTGTCCTGGTCCATTTTTTTTCCTTTGCCCTAAGAGCTTTCAACTTTTGGCACCACATCCTCATTCCTTTCCTCTCTATAGTTTTACTTCTCTCCCTCCGTCTCCTGGCTATGGCCGTGCTATCAGATGAAATCAGAGCTGATTTAGAAGGCGGTGATACCCTCACTCTGCCATGAAGGACCTGTGGGGGTTTGGGTCTTTTGAAAGAGAAGATGGATGAAGCTAGAGGCCATTCGTTCTCCTTTTATAACTCTGTTCTTGCCCGGAAAGCCTGCTGAGCTTCTGTTGGTACTGGCCGACGTTTGGCAAACAGCGAAGTCAAATAGTAGTGTCCTCCTAACTGCCCTGACCAAACGATCTTGAACTGCAAACAATGGGCTCCTTCAGGAAGTAATATCAGTCTTTGGCTTGAAAAGTACGTAGCGGAAATGAACACTTGGATCTGTGTGCTGCCATATTCAGGCCATATGTCTTTGAACATGCATTCAGGGTCAAACATTAACCCTTCAAGAGTTATTTCCTGTTTCTGCTGTGTTTTGATATTCCGTTCAGATGTGATTATGTAATTACTAAGGCTATAAAACAAGTCAAATAATTAATTGCAAATAATCATTATCATTATCATCAATATAATCATTATTTGGCCCTGAAAAAAGAAGATAGACTGTCTTATCAGACCATTAAAGTTATTCCTCACCTTCTTGCAAATTACCATAGATATACATACCTAGATGCCGCATTGGGTCCAGCCAGGCACGTCAACAGCGCCGCCATGTTGGGGAGGTCAACATCACTGCTGGACTGCATTCAGTACCATTACAGAGCGGCAGTTTCAGAAAGATACTGTCCAAAATTACACTATTTCATGAATATTGCTCTCAGAAAGTGGGATAAGATTATATAACTGAGGGAACGCAGTGATCCACACTCATGACTGTGTGATGTTTATGTAGATATGGCCGTGTGGTTGGTGAAGCACAGAGAACCTGTTGATGTGATTGTTTTTCCTTTGGTTTTATATGAAGCTTATTTCATTAATAGTCTATTCAGGGGGTCTTAACTTTATGTAGGTGTTATTTATTTACAGTGATGGTTAAAGCTTTGTAGTTCAGTAAGTTATAGCATTCCTTAATCCGTGTAGATATTCATAATAGATTAACGTCAGCACCTTCTTACACGAAGCTGAAGGTAGCTTCTTATTTGCCAGCTTCTTGTTCAGATTTTCCCATTCCACCTTAAATGGTACATCAGCCAGCTTCTTGTTTGAATTTTCCCGTTCCACCTTAAATGGTGCAGCTTCAGGCACCAGA